GCGCCCTGTCCCCTGCCAGCACTGAGCCGCTGTCGGGCGGCGGGGACGCGGGGCCCGCGGGGGGCGCGGGGAGCGGCCGGGACCCCAGACGCTGCTGCCGAATGGATCCGCAAGGGCAGCTTCATCCACAAGCCGGCGCACGGCTGGCTGCACCCAGATGCCCGGGTCCTGGGGCCCGGGGTCTCCTACATCGTGCGGGTGAGTGTGCTGGCCGGGACCCGCTATCCCAGCCTCCCGCGGCCTCGGGTACTGGGGCTCCCCCACTTCCTTTCCTTGGCATCCCACGGACCCCAAGAGCCTGGCTCCCTGCTCCATCCTCCCTTCTCTTCCCACCACCCGGACCCCCATCTCCAGCCAGCGAAGCGCTGGGGTCCGGGTTCCCACGGCGTCACGTGGGGAGGGGCGGGGAGAGGGCAGGTGGGAGGAGGACGCGCATGCGCAGGGTAGCACCTCCCCCCGCTCTCGCCTGATTCTTGCCTGGCGGAAGAGTCCAGGGAGTGAGGACCCCAGTGGGCACTGCTGCTTCCCAGCGGGAGGGATGCCCAGACCGCTGATAAAAGCGTCCATCACAGATGTCCGGGACCGGCCAAGACCGTGGCCTGGGATGGGGGTGTGGACTCGTCGGGGAAGAGGTATCTGGAAGGGGGCCGATGCCCAGCCAGAACCCAGGAGAGCTGAGACTGGAGGGACACCGGCCTTTATTTATTTATTCCGAGGGTTTATTGGGACCTTTTCGCACATACAGAAAAGCTCCACCTGGGACTCCGCATTTTGCGTTCTCCGCTCAATGTATCGATTCCTGTATATGGTTGTTGATAAACCGTTGGAAAGCAAGCTGCCCGCTAGTACCAGCTGCTGTGGAGTTCACTCATGGCGACCCCTTGCGTGTCAGAGTAAAACTGTGCTCCATAGGGTTTTCAGTGGCTGATTTTTTTGGTAGATCGCCAGGCCTTTCTTCTGAAGCTCCTCTGGGTGGACTCCAACTGCCAACCTTTCAGTTAGGGGCTCTGCCCACAGTGACACACCCGTAAATACCTCCACGTCTCTCACACACCTACCGCCCATGATCACATCTAAGAAAATGATCAGTGATTCCAAAGTGCCATTGAACATGGGGTTGTGTTCACATCTCCTGGCTGGCTCTCTGGGGCGAGGACCGTGAAGTTTTCTGTTTGTACTTGGTTATGTCTCTTTGCTCCCTCTAAAACAGTCCCTGAACACTGCTTACCCATCCCGTGACCTTGACTTTTTGGGTGCCCAGGATCCTTGCAACCTTTTCCTGTAAAAGGGCCAAAGAGTCAATATTGTCGGCTGTTCGGGCCAGGTGGTCTCTGTCCTGAGAATTCAGCTTTGCCTTTGGCAAAAGCAGCTGTAGGCAGTATGCAAATGAATGGGCATGGCTGTGTTCCAATAAAACTTTATTAGCAAAAAGAGGTGGCAAGGGTCGTAGTTTGCTGACCACTCGTCTAGACCAGCGCTGTCCAAAAGAACTTTCTGCAACGATTAAATGTTCTATATCTGTGCTGTCTGATGTGGTCATCACCAGCCACACGTGGCCATCCAGTGCTTGAAATGTGACTGATGTGACTGAGGAATGGTATTAAAATTCTTCTTCTTTTTAATAGACTTTATTTTTGTATTGTGATATATATGTCTCACTGTCACTTAACTGTATAAATTCTGTCATGGAATAGACTTTCTCAGAGTAGTTTTAGGTTACAGAAGAATTGTGCAGAGAATACAGAGTCCCCATGTACCTCTCCCACCTGCTTTTCTGCTGTTTCTCCTGTAATTGCTGTGGTACATTCCTGTGGTACATTTGTTACAGATGATGAACCAATAATGTATCAATACATTAGTATTATCTAAACTCTGCAGTTCACATAAGGGTTCAAGCTTTGTGTTGTGTGGTGGTCCTATGAGTTTTGACAAATGCTTAATGTCATGTGTGCCCCATGATGGCAGTAGACAGAACAGTTTCACTGCCCTAAAAATGTCCCATGCTCCACCTGTTCATCCCTCCCCCTCCCCCGACCCCCTAGCAACCACTAATCTTTTCATTGTTTCTATAGTTTTGCCTTTTCCAGAAGGAATTTTTAATTTTAATTTCAATTATAATTTACATTTATCTAAATGTCCATCGGCAGATGAATAGATAATCAAAATGTGGTACATACGTACAACGGATTACTACTCAGATGGGAGAAACCAAGTCTTGATACATGCTACAATATGGATGGAGCTTGAAGACATTCTGCTGAGTGAAATCAGTCAATCACAAAAGGACAAATATTGTATGACCTCACTTAAGTAAAAAGATAAGGCAAATGTATAGACATCAAAGTTTATCAGTGGTTACCGGGGATGGAACGGAGGGGGAAGGGGGCGGTTAATGGTGTTGGAAAAATCACATTGATTAAGGGTAGGGTTGCACAGCCGATTATTATAATTGCTATCGATAAGTTGTACACCCGTAAAAAGTTGAACTGGCAGAAGTCGTGTGATAGGTATATTTACAACAATGACAAAAAAAAAAAAAAAGTAGCAGCTGAGGCTGCTTATGTTCAACTAAAAACCTCATGGGATTTGGTTCCTTGGTTTGGAGGGTTAGAGTCATGGTTTCATGGGGCATCCCAGTTAATTAGCCTAATAACATGGTTAGTGCCTCTGTTCCACTTCTTAGTTCTTTGTGTAGTGCCTGGGGTCTTAAAAGTTTGTCAGTGGCCGTCCAAGGCACGACCATTGGTCTCTCTTCCCCTGGAGCAACAGAGGAAGAAGGAGGGTCAGGAATAGGAGGAGGAGATGGAATGTGTGGCTAATCGCCTCCATGAACAACTGCTTCCTTTGCCATGAGACCAGAAGAACTGAATGGTGCCCGGCTACCATGACTGAACATTTTGATCAAAGATTCTACAGAAGAATCCGGATCCAAAGGGAGAAAATACAGAACAGAATTTCAGATTTTCATGGACTCCAGACTTTCAGGAGCCATGGGGCTGGATGAATCCCTGAAACTATTGCCCTGAGATAATCTTTTAAAACATTAAACCAAAAATATCCCCTGGGGACCATCCAGCTCAACTGGCATAACACAGTTTATAAAGATAATGTTCTACATTCTACCTTGGTGAATAGCGTCTGGGGTCTTAAAAGCCTGTGAGCAGCCATCTAAGATACTCCACTGGTCTCTCCCTTCGGGACCAAGGGAGAATGAAGAGAACAGGATACAAGGAAAAGATTAGTCCAAAGGACTAATGGACAACAGCTACCAAGGCCTCCACCAGACTGAGTCCAGTACAGGAGATGGTGCCCGGCTACCACCACTGACTGCTCTGACTGGGATCACAACAGAGGGTCCTGGACAGAGCTGGAGAAGGATGCAGAACAAAATTCTAACACACACAAAAAAGACCAGATTTACTGGCCTGAAAGAGACTGGAGAAACCCCAAGAGTATGGTCCTCAGACACCCTTTTAGCTCAGTGGTGAAGTCACTTCCGAGGTTCACCGTTCAGCCTGGGAGTGGACAGCCCCATAAAACAAAATGGGACTAATGAGGCACAGCAGTCCAGGGACAAGGACTAGAAGGCAGAAGGGGACAGGAGAGCTGGTGATAGGGAACCCAAAGTTGAATAAGGACAGTGTTGACATGTAGTGGGGTTGTTAACCATTGTCATAGGGCAACATGGGTACTAACTGTTTAATGAGAAACTATTTTGTTCTATAAACCTTCATCTAAAGTGAGAATAGCAGCACAACTGGAAGAACATAATCAATGTCACTGAATTGTGCATGTAGAAATTTTTGACATGGTGTATCTCTGGCTATGTATATTTTCACCAAAAAAACAAAAGAAGTCGAGATGGGTGAGGGTTGACGTGGCGTGTTGTTAACCAATGTCATAAAACAATATGTGTACTGACTGTTTAATGAGAAACTATTTGTTCTGTAAACCTTCACCTAAAGTACGATAGAAAAAAAAATCCTAAAACAAAAGCACAAAAATGTCCCCTGAAGTCTTCTTAAAACCAAATAATAGTTTAGCTCAACTAGTAAAGAATGTCTGCCTTGAACATTATGCTCTTTTAAGAACTATCTATATGAGATTAAAGTGACAAGAGCAACTCAAAAGATTAGATAGGAATCTTAGGGGACAGTGAGTTTATGTTAATGAGGGAGGAACAACTCAGAAAAGGAGGGTGAGGATGTTTGCACAACTGAAAGAATGTGATCAATGACACTGAATTGTACATGGAGAAACTGTTGAATTAGTGTATGTTTTGCTGTGAATATTCTCAACAACGTCAAAATAAACTTAAAAAAGAAAAAAATACATTTAAATAACCACTTATGACTCGTGGCTACTCTATTAGATAGCACAGGTCTAGACCAAGGATTTGCAAACTGTCAAGCACTTACCATGTACCAGATCCTCTGCTGGTGCTGGGGATACAGATGTGAAGAGACTCCCACCATCTCTGCCCTCGTGGGCTCGTGCTCTGAGGAAGAGAAAGGTAATACACAAGAGACAGTATGATGGAGTCTTAGGAGGAAATAACCAGGCTTCTGTGAAGCAAGAGAAACAGAGAAAACCTCCTTAGAGTCAGGGAAGGCAGCTCCGAGCAGGTGACATTTGGAGTGAGCCCTAAAGATGGGGAAGGAGCCAATATTGCAAATAGCAGGGGTAAGGGAACAGCAGTGGGAGCAGCAGGTGCAAAGGTCCTGAGGCAGCAAGGCTGAAATTTTCAAGGGACAGAGAAGGACTGGAGTCCAGGGACGGTGAGAGAGGAGGGTGAAGCGTGAGGAGTTTGGATTCAATTCTAAGTCCCCAGATGTGTTCTTCTGTCTGGTGCTTAGACTCCACTTTCTAATGCCTTGTTTTCTTTTTCTTCTTAGTACATGGGCTGCATCGAAGTCCTCCGTTCCATGCGCTCCCTGGATTTTAACACTCGCACCCAGGTTACCAGGTGAGTCTCTGAGACAGGGTGTTGGACTGCGTGGGGTTCAAGTCTCCGCTCTGCCTGGTGAGTAGGGCCTATGAGAGGCTTTGCAAGGGGTGAAAGAAGTGGGATCTGAGCTGATTAATGGGTGGAATCTGAGGACAGCTGACTCAGTGACAACTCCTTACCAGTTTGGGGAGCAGTGCTGCCCAGGGTTAAGATGAATCTGAGGCCGACGGATTGTGTCTGAGTCCTGGCTCAGTCCCTGCCCACTGTCCAGACCTCAGGTTTTCCTGCAAACTGGTAACAGCCCGGCCCTTGCCGAATGTGGAGCAGATTACATGAGGAGTGTTTGTGAACAGTCCGCAGTCTGTCCTAGGGATTGTGGCTGCTCGCTGGTGCCCACTCGTGGGTCAGGTTAGGGCTGGGATGGGCCTGGGAGCCCCCTGTTTGTCTTCAGCCTGGAGAAGGGACATTGCCCTCATGGTGCTCTGAGCTGCCTGGATCAGGTCACACAGCTGTGACAATCAGTATTTAGAGGAAGGGGACTGGCATTGTTTTGTGTGTGAAAACTGATTTATTCTGATCACTGAAGACTTATGAGAAACAGCTCTATTGAGATATAATTCACAAGCCGTACAATTCAGTCATTTGAAGTGTACCATTCAGTGATTTTTAGTACATTCACAGAGTTTCAGAACATTCTCATCACCCCGAAAGGAAACCCCATACCCGTTACCTGTCACTGTCCATTCCTCTTCCTCAGCCCCTGGACAACCATTAATCCACTTTTTTCTCTGTGGATTTCCCTGTTCTGGACATTTCATATAAGTGGAATCATACACTCTGTGGCCCTTTGTGTCTGGCATCTTTCACTGAGCGTGTTTTCAAGGTCTGTCTATGCTGTAGTGTGCATCAGTACTTCTGTCCTTTTTCTGACTGAATAATATCCCATTGTATGGATGGACCACATTTCGTGTATCCATTTATCCCCTGATGAACATTTGGTTATTTCCACCTTTTGGCTATTGTGACGTGTGTTGCTATGAACATGTGTGTACTCGTTTCTGTGTGAACATATGTTTTCATTTCTCTTGGGTACATACCCGGGAGTGGAATTGCTGGGTTATATGTAACTCTCCACCACTCGTCTGTCAGTCTGTCATACTCTGGTGGCTGGCTTGTGCTGTGATGCTGGACGCTATGCCACCAGTGTTTCAAACACCAGCAGGGTCACCCATGGTGGAGAGGTTTCAACGGAGCTTCCAGACTAAGACAGACTGGGAAGAGGGACCTGGCGGTCTACTTCTGAAAAAATTGGCCACTGAAAACTTTATGAATAGCCGTGGAACATTGTCTGACGTAGCGCTGGAAGATGAGCCCCTCAGGTTGAAAGGCACTCAAAATATGACTGGGAAGAGTTGCCTCCTCAAAGTAGAGCTGACCTTAATGACATGTATGGGGTCAAGCTTTCAGGACCTTCATTTGCTGATGTGGCACAACTCAAAATGAGAAGAAACCGCTGCAAACATCCATTAATAACCAGTACGTGGAATGTACGAAGTATGAATCCAGGAAAATTGAAAGGCATCAAAAATGAAATGGAACGCATAAAGATCGATATCCTAGGCATTAGTGAGCTGAAATGGACCGGTATTGGCCATTTTGAATCAGACAATCATATGGTCTACTATGCCAGGAATGACAACTTGAAGAGGAATGGCGTTGCATTCATCATCAAAAAGAACATTTCAAGATCTATCCTGAAGTACAACACCGTCAGTGATAAGATAATATCCATACGCCTACAAGGAAGACCAGTTAATACGACTATTATTCAGATGTACGCATCAACCACTAAGGCCAAAGATGAAGAAATGACAGATTTTTACAAACTTCTCTGTGACCTCCCGGCCTACTGTGCCGTCTTCTGCCCGTCTCCTGCCTCTGCTGCCGTTTCTCTGCCACCGCTTCTGGCTGTCTTCAATGTTTCAGCTCTCTCTGTCTCCTGGTTCCAGGAGCTTCTCAGCACAGGGATCCCGTGTCCGAGGGATGTGTTCCGCTCCTGGCTCTTCTTTGTTGGTAGTGGTGAGATTCTCCCCTCCTGCATCTGGGGTGACTCATTTTAAGCCTAGCGGGATGCCATCGAGTCGATTCTGACTCATAGTGACCCTGTAGGACAGAGTAGAACTGCCCCATAGGGTTTCCAAGGAGCAGCTGGTGGATTCGAATTGCCGACCTTTTGCTTAGCAGCCAAACACTTAACCACTTCGCCACCAGGGGTGTCGGGGCGGCATCTTACCTCCTCTAACTTCACAAGGAGGGAAGAAAATGAAGATCAACAGCCCAAGGCTGATTCCTTTGAGGTGAACGTGAGACACGCCTCCTCTCTCTGCCATCTTTACCAATTCTGACACCAGCCATCCCTCCCATGGCACTCTCTGCTTCTCTGCTGGGTTTGATAATTCGTTGCAATGGCCACACGGAGCTTACAGACCATACAGTTATTGGTTTTTTTTAGGGAAGTACCAGGTTGAGGAACCATCAGGGTACAGTTTTTCCATCAGGACAGTCTCTTTTCAGCTGTGCTCACAGGCAGGTCTCTCCCTGGCCCTGGGCCTCTGCCCTGCTCAGGCAAGTGTTACAAAGCTCTTTTAGCTCTGCCAGTAAGTGCCCAGAGGCACCCCACTTTGCCAGTAAGCCTTGGCTCAAAGGTACTCAGCTTTTTGATTCCTGGGAAGCCCACTGCACTGTCTCCTGCCAGTTTCTCCTGCCGCTGTTTCTCTGCTACCGCTTCTTGCTGTCTGCAATGTTACAGCTCTGTCTCTTGGTCTCCTGATTCCAGGAGTTTCTCAGTGCAGGGATCCCAGGTCCAAAGGAAGCCCTCTGCTCTTGGCTCTCCTTTCTTGGTGGTGGTGGGGTTGTCACTCTATTCTGGAATTGGCTCTCTTTTAAGCCTAGCAAATAATATTTTGCTGAAGACCATTCAAAAACGGTTGCAGCAGTACTTTGACAAGGAACTGCCAGAAATTCGAGCTGGATTCAGAAAAAGACGTGGAACCAGGGATATCATTGCTGATGTCATATGGATCTTGGCTCAAAGCAGCGAATACCAGAAAGATGTTTACCTGTATTTTATTGACTATGCAAAGGCATTTGACTCTGTGGATCATAACAAGTTATGGATAACATTGGGAAGAATGGGAATTCCAGAACACTTAATTGTGCTCACGAGGAACCTGTACTTAGACTAAGAGGCAGTTGTTTGAACAGAACAAGGGGATACTGCGTGGTTTCAAGTCAAGAAAAGTGTGTGTCAGAGTTGTATCCTTTCACCATACTTACTCAATCTGTGTGCTAAGCAGATAATCCGAGAAGCTGGACTATATGAAGAAGAATGTGGCATCAGGACTGGAGGAAGACTCATTCACAACTTTCAATATGCAGATGACACAACCTTGCTTGCTGAAAGTGAAGAGGACTTGAAGCACTTACCAATGAAGATCAAAGACTACGGCCTTCGTATGGATTACACCTCAACATAAAGAAAACAAAAATCCTCACAACTAGACCATTAAGTAATGTCATGATAAATGGAGAAAATATTGAAGTTATCAAGGATTTCATTTTGCTTGGATCCACAATCAACACCCATGGAAGCAGCAGTCAAGAAATCAACCGATGTATTGCACTGAGCAAATCTGCCTCAAAAGACCTCTTTAAAGTGTTCAAAAGTAAAGATGTCACTTTGAAGACTAAGGTGCGCCTGACCCAAGCTGTAATATTTTCAATCGCCTCATATGCATGTGAAAGCGGGACAATGAATCAGGGAGACCGAAGAAGAATTGATGTCTTTGAATTATGATGTTGGCAAAGAATATTGAATATACCGTGGACTGCCATAACAACGAACAGATTTGTCCTAGAAGAAGTACAACCAGAATGTTTCTTAGAAGCGAGGATGGCAAGACTTCATCTCATGTACTTTGCATGTTATTAGGTGGGACCAGTCTCTGGAGAAGGACATCATGCTTGGTAAAGTAGAAGGTCAGTGAAAAAGAGGAAGATCTTCAAAGAGATGGATTGACACAGTGGCTGCAACAATGGGCTCAAGCATAATAACGATTGTGGGGATGGCGCAGGACTGGGCACCGTTTTGTCCTGTTGTATGTGGGGTGGCTATGAGTCGGCACCGATCTGATGATAGCTAACGACACCATGGTAATTCCAGTAGTCCCTATGGTGCAAATGGTTCATGTGCTCAGTTGCTAACTGAAAGGTTGATGGTTGAAGTTCACCCAGAGGCACCTTGGAAGAAAGACCTGGTGATCTATTTCTAAAAAATTAGCCATTGAAGACCGTATGGAGCATGGTTTTACTCTGACACACATGGGTTACCATGAGTCAGAATCTACTCAACCCCAGCTGGTTTTATAAGTACACCAGTCATTGAATTAGGACCATCTTACTTCAGTATGGGCCCTGGTGGCACAGTGGTTAAGAGCTTGGCTGCTAACCAAAAGATTGGCAGTTCGAATCCACCAGCTGCTCCTTAGATACTCTAAGGGGCAATTCTACTCTGTCCTGTAGGATCGCTATAAGTCAGCATCGACTTGAGGGCAAAGTTTTTTTTTTTTTTAACTTCAGTACGACCTGATTTTAACTAATTATATCTGCAAAGACCCTATTTCTAAATAGGGTCACATTTGCAGGTACTGAGGATTAGGGCTTCAACATATATTTTTGGGGGACCCAATTCAACCCATAGCAGCCCCCCTTTTCCTTCTCTGAATACACCTGTGCCCCCTTCTCAACCCCATCTCCCTCCCTCTGCCCTCCTGTTCGGCTCTCGGACCCTCACCCTTCTCTTAGCTCCTCTACCCTTAACTCTCGCCCTCTCCCCGTGACGCCTCCCCTCCCTTGGTCCTCTCCCTGACCCCTTCCCATTTCTGAGCCCCCTGCCTCTCTCTAAGTTCTCATCTCCTCCGAGCCCGCACCTCTGAGCCCTCCCGGAGCTCTCTGATCCCTGCTCCCTCTCTCGCGCAGGGAAGCCATCAACCGCCTGCATGAGGCTGTGCCCGGCCTCCGGGGCTCCTGGAAAAAGAAGGTGGGTGAGGGGCTGCGGGCCCTGGTGCGGTTGGTGGGCAGAGTGGGAGGCGGGGGGTGGGAGGCGGGGGACACCAGGGCCCTCCGCCGACCCTTGCCCCAGCCAGCAACCCCTCTGCGGCCCCTCCCCAGTGCTCAAGCCCGCGTCCCACGCTGCACGCTGGCGCTGTCCCCTGCCTCCCCAGGCCCCCAACAAGGCGCTGGCCTCCATCCTGGGCAAGAGCAACCTGCGCTTTGCCGGCATGAGCATCGCTGTCAACATCTCCATCGACGGCCTCAACCTCTCGGTGCCCGCCACGCGCCAGGTGAGGCCGCCCACGGGCCCCGCCCCGCGGCCAAGGCCCCGCCCCGCGGCCA